TTTTGTCACAAAGAAAAGCAATCATTAAATCGCAAAAGCAATTTTTATTATTTTTTGCGCTATAAAGGAATATTTGCTTGAGAGAATAATAAAATTTTGTAATATTTTGTTATATTTACTTTTCTTAATATTAACTCTAATAATATTAGTTACAAGAATATGATTATTGGTTTTCAATATTTATTTCCGTGTACATATTTAATAGGATGTTTCCGTTTACTTATTCACACACATATATATCTGTCACAAAAGCCAAAAGCCATTTCACCGTCTCACTTTGTCAGTTGATGTAATCACAATGACAGATCCGACGGCAGTCTATACTACGTAATATGAGGCAATGCATAGAGTATGCTATTTGTTCCGTCAGAGATGGTGCGATAATATTATATTTGCATGTTGCCTGATTCATAGGAAGAAGTGTAGGAGATAGGTAAATAAGTGAGTAAATGTCATCGCTCTCTTTGTCAAAATATGAGAATATAAAGAAGTTATGATTGATTCTTTAACGATAATGACAGTTAACTTTTATGATATTTTATATCTAATCTTAACTATAATATCTTTGTTATAAGGAAAAATTTTTAATTTGACGTAGACATAAAGTTGTGGGAGTATATTATATAAGAACTTATATTATAAAATTAAAAATATATTGTTTTATAATAATTAAAATTAAAATTTTTAATACATCAATATTATAAAATTTTTAAACACTGTATTAATAAATAGAACATTCTTTATAAAAGATGATTTGAAAAATAATATCTATATGCGATTAAAAAATAAAAATCTGAAATATTAAAAATAAAAGAAAATGTATTTTCTAATATCCTCTTTAAATTATTATTGAATGATAAATTTCGATAGAACTCACAATTATCGATTACCATACAATACATCTTTTTTAAATGGCCATAAAGCTTAAATTTTATCGCTCACCCAATATGTGACACGTCCCAGTTGCTTGGTTCACTTTGTGCATGTACAAACCAGTTTCGATGCATCGCAAATACTTTCTGTTGGGGCTACTATCGCCGTTAAAGTTTGCGTTTCTGGTTTACGACTCTGATAATTCCCAACTATATCTGCTATCCGAAATACTTTCTAATGACATTAGTCAGCCGCACACGTGCCAATGATATCTCCCAAATAATCTGCTATAATCAGACTGGCAAAAATTGCTTCCTCTTTTTGAGACCGTTGTATATTATGAAATAATTATAAGCCTAGAAAAAAAGGGAGATTGATTAACTCAGTAATGTATACACATATTACAATAATTACTGGAATTACTAGCGAATCCGTTAAATTAAGTTTTACTAAATGTATATTTCAGCGGTACACATACAATTTGCGCTATAATAACATAATAACTCTCAAGGGAAAATTAGAATATGGCTAAGACGCTGTAATAACATAATAACTCTCAAGGGAAAATTAGAATATGGCTAAGAACAAATTGTTTGTATCGTAAACTATAGGATAAATATAAAATAGATTTTTAATTGATTATTGTTTAATTGATTATTATTTTACTAATCTCTGATTAGAAATTTTAATATCATAAATGAAATAAAATAAATATATTCTTCATTCATTTACACTTAAATATTAATTACCTAAATATTAATTATTATAAACTGATATTTTTACTTAAAGTTAAATAATCTGAAAGCGTGTGAATTTCAATATATGTATAATACTGCTTTTAGTTTCGCGAAATGGAAAAGTCGGGTAATTCTTGTCGCCCGCATCACTATATGATAAATTATAGTCAAGATGTAACTGGGTTACGTTGAAATGTTGAATGAACCTCTTGTTCTTCCATGGGTATCGAGAACTCAGAAGAAGTGAGGAAATCAGAGACGTGCGCATGTGCACATTATATTTTGTATTCGTCAACGGAGGTAAGGTCTCTGCGAGGCGGAACAAAATTCTCCACGTGAAATCCTGTTTCTTCGAATGATCCTTACGCGTGTATGATCGCTTTTCGGCAGCGAACGTGTAAGCCGGTCATGCACCTCAACCTACCTACGTAGCATCTTTATTAGTGGGTTAATGGAATTCATCCGGTCCACTCACTTTGACTTGGCCCACCTGATCAATTGCTTGGTCAACTCATAATGTAAGATAATGTCTCCAAAACCTTGATATCGATGCGACCTATCTGCCTTTGGGACTCGGGTCAATTTGTCGATCTGTTGATTAATACGCTACTTTCAAAACTCATTTATATACGAACAATAATCTGTGTACCAAAAATATATAAAGTAATAAAAACTATTGCTTTAATATTATGTGACCTGTGTAAAAATATATAAAATATAATGTAATGTAAAAAGAGAGATATAATAACTATGATATGTTTTAATAAGATTTTATGTCTCGAGAGAAAAATTGTTTTTAGCAAAATTGGGAAAAATAAAGAACACATTGGATAGATGTAATATATGACGCAGGTATCTTTACATTAGTCATTATTACATTATCAAAATTATCTAAAAATATCATTAGAGAGATGAAGAAGATATGTTTAGCTGTCACTTAAGTAACTTGTAAGTTAAACATGGATTAAATGCATCGTAGTTACTGGCTGAAATAATGGGAACACCTTCACTAGAAATCTACCCAGTGAAAAGCTTGAGAAATGCGATTGACGAGTTAAATGCAGCAAAATAATGCCTATTCTAACTTAAGATATTTTTTTATTTTCAATATTCCAATTTGATATTTTATATCCAATAAGAATATATAGATAAAGATCGTAAAAACACACTTCAGAGATTGTAAAACATCATTTCCGTAGGAATTACAAATTATGTTGTTTCACAAAGTAAAAGTACATTACATTGTTTAATCATAAATGAGTTTTTTTTCGAATATTATTTGCGTCAACACAATTTTTTGCTCATTATAATAATGCTTATGCACATATGTGAAATTTATTATTATGCTTTAACACAATGTTATTTCAATGTACCAATAAGAAAACGTGGTGTATATATGTATAGCGCGTGCGGAAAAAGCTATTCATTTATGATTAATGTATGAATGCCTCGCTATAATCAGGATCTGAAAGTGTGTTTCCATTAATGTATGTGCTTACATACATAAAATTTTAAAAAATTGATTGTTAAATTAAATATAAATATTTATTGCCTGACGATTTATCGCTGTCATTTTACTCTAAAAACGTATTAGTAAACGTGAAAATATCTTTTTAATCGACGGATTATAATATTTTAATATAAAAAATAGTATCTGAGAGGTTGGTATTAGTATCTGACAGGTGCTAGAGAAATTTATATCTTTAAGAATATCTCTTTATTTAGAATTTAATAAAAAAAATATTCTTATTTTGTCTTGGCTTGACACATATACACAGATTACATGCAAACAGTAAACTACAATTTAAAAAATATATATACTTACTAAATCATTTATATCCGAAAATAATTTTTATATTTACATCTAAACGCAATGTACAGTACATATTTTTATTAAACAACAGTTCATAAATCCATGTTGCAATTAATTGTTATTGCATCTAAATGACTTCAACATATTAATTTTTATAACTATAATATTTTAATTCTAGTTTAATGTTTTAGATTCCCATTCATTACGTCGGCATGGATAAGGAAGTTGAACTATATTTTCACCGGAACACGTAGCAGACGTACATATAATTCTGTATAAATGGCCGACCATGCGACAATTCAACTATGTACTTTCTTGCGAGGAAATTTCTTGCCATCATCATCTTTCGAAGAAGTGAACTGCGACCAACAGTTCATAAATGACCATAATTAATTTTTTATATAAAAGTGACATTACGTGCCAGTATATAATATACGTTAATTGTGGCTTAATTATATCTCATAATCTCACATGTTTATCGTGATGTAGAAAAATTAATAAGACATCCTATAGAGAATATACAATCTTGCATAATACGTAATAAATGTAAAAGCAGATTTTTATATATATATTTTATATAATTTAATACAAGTTATTTAAGTCTCATCTTTGCGCAAGCATATTGCATCTGGACATTTGTATCAAAAGTACAATCTTTGAATTTCAGTGAAATTCGAAATTATATATTACATTCGACTATAAACGCGACAGAACGCAAATGCGGACCCTTTAACACTGAAAACAAGAATAGACGTGACATTCGGATTCGATTGGAACAACGTGTCTCCAGGTCGCTGCATATTTATGCATCTGACCAGATCTTCGGCCAGGAGCCCAACGGTTTTAAACGTGCGCGTGTACAACCACAAGTCTGGTCGGTTGCAGTCCGAGAGGAGACGATAATGACCTTCCACGGAGCAGCTCGCCAAAGAAGGAGTAGGAGGGCATTTGACACACTTGACGCTCAGGTGAATTGTAAGCGAGAAAGGCTCGTGGTTAGTGCGGAGCGAGAAATCGAACGGTGCACGTCTCAACGGAAGAGAGTGAGACAGAGAAAAAGAAAGGTAAAAAAGAGACAAGATAGATCGAAAGATGTGACATGTGACAACAGTCACAAGCATATTAGTAGCATGACAATTGACGTCTGCGATGCAACGTGATTGCAACGGCAGAGTCTGCCGATTGTACATCACGCCGAATCGCCGAAGAGGCTCTCGCGCAGAGAAGAGGATTGTTGATAAGGGGTGGGAGAAGGTCAGATTTTCGGCCACGAAAAAGGAGAGAGGGTCGACATCTCCAATAAGTAGAAAGAGCATGTGGTGACCGCAGGTAGATACCAAAGAATTCGTGTACATACGTGAACGAAGTGACGATGATAAATTTGCAAAATGTAAAGTGCGCCGGTTTCAGTTACTAGATAAGTAATTGACCAGTGCTACCGCCGGTGGTGTACATTCAGAGCGTGCAGTGTTTCCGGTACGCTACCTCATATTTCTGGTCATACACGTAAAAATCGAGTCAAATATAAAATATAATAACATTAAACGTAGTTAATCTCGACAGAAGTGCTATCAAAGATGCATTGGGGATCGACGTTGTTCCTGTTATGTCTCTCGATAACATTATCATACTCGACTCTGTTCAGTATCGAGAAATTCAGGTTGTATGCGAAGATCCTGAAGCTCGATAAGTTAAACATCAACGAAACGGGAAACGAGCTCTGGCATGGACTCTTCAGGGACTGCGACAAGAGAGTGACGTTTTCCTGCATACAAAAGAACGCGTACACGTACCTCGACAATGCATTCATCGATAGAGATAATATCACCGTTTTCGACGGTCTGATTCTTACGAAAAATAACGTCACTTACGATACATGTCCTAAAGCAGAAAATCCCAACGATGTTCGTGAGAATCTCGTAGATGATGTCGACACGGACGACTGCGAAAACAAAACGGCCGAAGAAGAAAAAGAGCAAGGGCAGAAGTTTGGGAATAAATCACCACTCGAAGAAATTACGAACGCTCTACGACAGAAAACAGTAAAATTTTTATCAACACGAAATTACGAAATTCAACTTCCGCAGTTCTTTTTCGAGGGCGCAACTGTAAAGATAAGCCCGCGCGAGATTGACGAGAATGGAGCTCTCCTCAGAGTAGATTTCGGAAATCAACAAGTGGTACAAGAGGAGGGACGAATCTTCTTTAAAAAAATTAGTAAGTATTTTTGATAATCAATAAAAGCACGTGATACTTATAATATTTAGAAAATAATATTTATAATTGTTTTATGACAAAAATTGCAATTATAAAATTGCAAAATTTGCAATATAATATTTTGTTTTATTTTAGAAAAGTTCATACAGAATAGATTGTTAACCAGTTTCTTGGCGCTTCTCTTAATTATCAAGCTAATTAAAGTGAAGTTCCTGTTCGTCATTCCGTTCCTTTTCGGTGTGGGCGCTGCGAAGAAACTTTTCCTGAAACTGCTACTGTTCTTCATTCCTGCGTTCGCGCATATTTTCAAGCTCTGCTCCAGCTACTATTCGTCTCATGCCACCAAATATCATCATCATCATCATCAAGTATGCGAGCGGTTTTCCCTTTCTCTCATCTCATTTTTTTTTTTTGGATATATATAAAATATTTTCATTCAAAATCTTTCTTTTAGATAGCGCATCATCATCATCACGTGCCAGTTCCGGTACCTCTCCCATCTTATTACGACCATCACCCTCATCGCGATGACTTCGATGGTTACGATTACGCCCACCCTCATGTTCAATACCGGAAAGATATGGAAGAGTTGAAAGAATGGGGCATTGAACCTGATGAGGAGCCCTACGAAGAGTCCAGTCAGCAGTTAAATCGCGTGGTCCCAGCTCCAGGCGCAGCTTCCGGTCTCATGTATTCAGGTTTGTATAGATTGCCGCAATATACGTCAAACATAAAATCGATTGCATCATCTTATTTAGATAATTTGATGACAGCTAGCGCGCATAACTTGGCCTACTCCGGATATCTCAACGACATTAAATACAATCAACGACCCGCGGCGCAGCCAACTGCCGCTGTACTTTCGGTAAATCCCATCAGTCTCGTATCCGGTACGAAGACATCGGTAAAGAATCCTTATACCGTGTTCGCGCCAAACGTACGACCGACTCATCAGAGACTCTTGACACCCGTCGCAACCGCCAAGAGCTCGTCTGTATCGATCTCAAGGCAAGAAACGGACGATGAGTATTACGGGCCGATAATCGAACGACTGGATGTAATCTTCGGGCAACTGAGATTCTACGAAGAGACGTGCAAGGAAATGCTCGTCTGTAGCATGTACAAGAACCCGGCGGAGTACTCGCCGCAGAGTAACCTCGTGTCAAACGAGCTTTCCAGGTATAAGAAATGCGGTAGCTACATACTATGTAGCTTATCGATTAAATCACTGCGAATCACAAAGAGAAAGGTGGAGATCGCCCGCGTGCTCTGAAGTACGTTAATCGGGTCATGTTGGCTTTAACTCTCTCTCTCTCTCTTTTTTTATCACATCGTTCCTTTTTGCCATTTCTCAATGCCGCGATTGCGATTTCGCGTGTTGTCAAACTTATTTACTTTAACATTGCGTTTTGCTTGGTATTCCATTAACAATAGGCGTGAGCTATAAAGTGCTTTCACCGAATCAGCTATGCAACGGATTGGAAAGTTCTTGTTGTGTTCGTGTTCGTTTGCTGGATAACTAACTTATGCACAATTATCGGCTTTCAAAGATTAATTTTCTATTAATTACGTTTTTTAGGTTGATGGCTTATGCCAAATTATCTCAATAATGAGCAAGAAAAATTACACGAATCGGGCGCGGCTTGAAATGTGCATGTCAATTAAGATGCATAATTATTGCGTTTTTTAGAAATATTATTATTATAATATTGTATTTTTAGAAATATTGCATTTTTTAGAAATATTA